GTCCCAGATTCCAGAGTTCGACTGCAGCCGCCAATGGAGAAAACTTGGGGCTGGGCTGCTGCTCCGTGGTAGAGGTCCTGCCTCGCATGCCCAAGACCTCGAGTTCCATCCCCAGCAATGCAGAAACCAAACAGAAGACAGGAAGCAAGTGCTTCTCTGACTTTCGTGGCTGATATATTATCCCCCATGACAGTATTTAGTGATTATATCTTTGACTTGACAACTAAAATGAGCACATAGTTCAAGGTGCTCTCAGTATGGCTGGATCTTACGCCAACACTTAATTCCCTACCCAGAAGTTAAACGTAATTTCCAGGAGGAGAATCTACTGGAGGAGAGCCAGGGCAGCAAAGCCACTCTCTGGAAAGTCAATATGTAAATCCCTCAAAAAATATATATGTACATACAATTGATAGAAATTTTTATTTACATATAATGATCTGATATGTTGTAAAACATTGTGAACAGGAAGACTTACATGAAAAGAAAATGTGGGGCTAGAGAGATGGCTCAGTGGTTAAGAGCACTAGCTGCTCTTCCAGAGGACCCAGGTTCAATTCCCAGGGCCCACATGGCAGCTCAGAACTGTCTGTAACTCCAGTTCTAGGGGATCTGATACCTTCACACCAATGCACATGAAATAAAGTTAAAAAAAAAAAAAGAAAATATTTCCAAAGGCATATGATTGCTATCCAAACTAGTAAGTGTATATGGAAGCCAAAGAATTAACATTATAATAATCTCATGGAGATGCTGCTCTGTGCATTGAAATAAAGACGGCATTGGGAGCCAAAAGTTGAGGAGCAGGTGAGAGTTTACCAAGTGAAGGGAGGCAGCTGGCCAGAGCTACGAATAGTATCACTCCACGGTGCCGCTCAGAAGAATAAAGACAGAAACCAAACTGGCCACTAACTTTGGATTTTCACTCAATTTCAAACTGACAGAAGAATTGACAGACTAGTAGAAGGAGCCAGCGTATACTTTTTATGCAAGTTTACTAACACATGACTCCACCAGCTCTATATTTTATACAGAGACAGCCTTCACATCACTCTGAGTCAGCTGGAGACATGGAGCTATTTTACGTTACTTTACATATATCAGCATATATTTCCTGTGAACAGACATCCTCTCAAGCATGTAGAATAAACTCAATAAAACCAGAAAGGTCACTATTAACACACATAGTATTACTTAATATCATCCATTAATAAAGAACCTTAGTACATTATTTTGTGTGCATGCCACCGTGAGAGTGTGGCGGTCAGACGACAACCTGAGGTCAGCTCTTTTCCTTTACCATGTGAGCTCCCAGGCTCAAACTCCGGTCATCTTGTCAACCTGCATCCTGTCCCTTTTCACACTTAGACAGCTATCCCAACCATCACACCCATGCCCCTTCTTCCCCAGTCCAGATGTCAGAACAAAAATGCATCATTTTGCCACGTTTCTTTAGATTCCTTTATCTGGAACAGTTTTTCCTTGAAGGTTTATTACATATTATTGTGATGGCATTTCCATAGAAGTCGCCATTTTAACTACTTAACCATACATCAAAAGAATATTTTTGTGCCTGGCTTCTATCATCAAATGTTCTCTAGTTCATCCACAGAGTGCGGATCAGTAATCACTTTCTATTACCCAAACCATTGTACTGTGTGTACACACCAGGACTGGTTCACACATCCACAGGCAGGACACTCAGATGACGTCTGCCTTTTGGCTGCTGTATGCAATCCCTAACTACTGTTAGAGTAGCTGGGCTTTTCTCAACATACTCCTAAGAGTAGAACTCCCTCCCCTATTACATTAAGTCTTGAGGGGCAGCCAAACCATTTCCTTCAGTGGCTTCAGCACACACCCCGCCCCCAGGAACACAGAGGATCCAATTTCTACACATCCTTGCTGCTATCCTCATGGGTGTACAATGGTACCTCATTGTAATGTCTTCTTTTTCTCTTCCAGACAGGGTTTCACTATTCAGCCCTGAATGCTTTGGAACTCAAGCTTGAGGTGGTCCTATCTCTGTCTCCCAAGCGCTGGGATTACAGGTCCCGACACTTGGCTTCATTAAATTTTGATGTGCATCTTTCTTTGTGCCCAGCTTGCTGCCACATGCCTCATGACCTGAGATGGCACAGGCCATCTGAATTTCTATCCAAGGCCTGTGCCATTTTTCACCTGGCTTTGCTCTGATGATTTTTAAGAACAGTTTGACACCTCCTGGATGCTATGACCTTATCATCTATACACTCTGAAAATATTTTCACTCCTTTTTCATGTTCGTTTTTCACTGTCCTGATAATGTTCTGTGAGTCACCTAAGGTTCTGTGGTGAACTTCAGTTCACCTATTTTTCCCTCCTTTTATCTCATGTTGTAGTTAATACTCCATCATTGAAGCCAAGGTCATGGAGCTACTTCTA